CACCCTTCATTCTGGACTCACCGCAGAACATGGATGTCCTGGCCTCAACCACTGAATGGAAGACTGGACGCACTGATGGCACTGCTGCTACTGAAAAAGGACATGGCTCTCTCCATACCCCCCACCCCCGCGAAAAATTCCCCAGTGCACGCCTCTCCAGCGCCACATTGAAAATTTCCTGTGGGTTGTTTTGTTTAGGTGAGCCCGAGCCACGTGCCTGTGCTCTAGAGCTGCTAAAGTGATTATCGGACATTTTCAATTCATCGTGGAAGGAGGCCTCTATTTCTAATATTCAAGTCACATAAAGAAGGAAATTCCCTAAACAAAGAAAGGATTCAAGTATGGATAGTCCTCCATTTGTAGTGACAAATATGCACTATGGAAATCTTTTCACTCTCTCTCCTTTTGCGCACCGTGACCATAAAGGCCAAATGAGTTTTGAGCTGGTTACAGTAAACTGGAGATCAAACAAATTCTATTTCCAACAATTGGTGTGACATTGTTTTTTGTGTAATTGTTTCATTATACTTTCTTGACTTGTTCATTTAGAAGACTATGACATTTTTAAGGAAATAATTCAAAGTATCTTTGTACTTCTTAACGTAAGTGCAAAGATAAATGGTAAAGATATTGAGAATGCAATTGTTTGGGTCCTGTTATAGGACCCATCTAGAAGAAATATAAATGACAGAGGCTGCTGAGGGGGAGTCTATGTTTGATCTGTAAAGTCTGACAAACTGAGAAACACGCAGTGACTTGACAGGGGATGAAAGAGGAAGAATCAATATTAGTAAACTCTGATACCGTTGTTGATATAGGGGGGTTTTAGATAATGCTGAACCAAACCTGGAGCTGTGGGAAAGGGTAAATGAAGAATGCAGATCAAGTAACTGGAAAAATGGTTATAGTTAGTGTTTGGGAGTAAAAGGGAATAAAAATATAGTCAGAGATTTAAAATTTTTTTGTTATGTTTTGTTTTTAGTTTTGGGTACACCATACAAAATGAAACATCTCATACGTTATATATATATATTTTTAACTATGGACTAGGTAAAATAATGCTCAAAGCCTAAATTATACTGGACTTATTAGTCAAATCAACCCAATAATTGTTAAATAAACTTTTCTCTTTTGGTTGGGAAAAATATTTCTTGGATTTTAAGAAAATATGTATCTTATAGATATTTAACATGTACTTTATAGATATTTGTAAATCCTAGCCAACATGAAAATATGTTTACCTGTGCTCTCTAGCAGATATCAAAGCATGTCTTGAAAAATGACTGTTTTTAGAATTTCCTAGGCAGACTATTGCACTATCTTAATTATTCAACTGATCGCACAAATATTTTCTGCATTCCTATTATATTGCAGGTCCTGTGTTAAGACCTAGGATTTGAAGATAAATAAGATACCACTATTGCTGCTAAGGATCTCATAGTCTAAGGGACTCCAAGAAAACATGATAAATGCTAGAGCAGGTATTTGCCAGAAACCGAATGGGGGAAGGAGTCCATAGCTTCATGTGAGGAGAAAAAAGGCTTCCTGAAAGAAGTGTTTGAGCTAATCCTAAATCACTGCATTAAACTCTCAAGTTTTAGGAACAAGAGAGCAGAGTTGTTTTATTGTTGTATGTAAAAGAAATGATCAGGAGAATAAGGCTAATAAATCACTTTGGAATGCCCAAACTTACTTCTTTAGCACGTCTATCACAAAATTTCAAATTGCTACTAAATGAATAAATGTAACATAAATAATATATATGAATATGACATATCCCAGGACTTTTCCCACATAGCTCAAGTAAAATGCTGGTGAGTTTTCCTTAGCTTTCTTTATTCATCAAAGAACTGTTTATTGCAATGAACAGCTCTTATTTAATACCTTTTCCTTTTCCTGGTAGGGGTATTGAAGATCAAATGATACATATGAAGCTTAGTATAGGGCCTGGCACACAGTAGAGTTCAATAAATGGTAGTCTCCCTTTCCAGTCCAAGGTAGATCTTCTATGTTCATTCACTGCAGTGCTTTTGTTATTAATGATGCTCTAATAAATATTTGAACTGTAACTTTATAGCTAACTACCAATATATACCAAAGAAATCTTTAGCATCTTCCCTTCTTCCCCACCTTCCTCAGTCCCCACCCTATTTATTCTTAGTACCTTGAGGTAAAATTCTGCAAGGATAAGTTCCTAAAACAAGACCGTCACATTTAAATTATATTAGAAATGTTTAATCATGTAAGCGTGATTCATAAAACAGTTACTGAAAGTTTGTGCCAATGCTATTGTAAATATAAGTATCAAGATTTTATTATTTCTTGGTAAATAAATACAACTCCAAATTCCAGAGTAGGTCGAGATAAAACAGTAAATGTAGACAGAGCATACTGCCAACAGATGGCAGCACCTGAATATCAAACCCTGCTTTTCACTTCCTTGTAGGTTGTGACTTGCAAAAAATGCAAAACCCCAATCATGGTTGATAGAAGATAATGTCTACAGCGTGGGCGCCTCATGAATAATTGAAATAGCCACACAACAGCAAGATAGCAAGCACATAGGGATGTGGCAGCTGCTACCCTGCATGATAATGAGGAGGGACGGTATGTGATGAAAGTATTCTGAGACACAGAGGGTGTGACTTGTTGAAGATGTAAAGATTGTGAAAAGAAATGGGGCTGGGTTCTCCAATCCTGAAAATGGGAGTATGCACCAAAGATCAGAGCACTGGAAACACATGGACGCTGAAAAAGCATTTCAGTCATACCCACAGTATAACCGGAAGTTGAATTTATTTAAAGAAATAAAATGTATTTTTAAGTGTAGTTCATATAACTAAAGAGAGTGATAAGTAACAGAAAATGAGTGTTACAATTATTTTTTGTAATATTTCTTACATATTAATATATTTGCATATGACTATAACTGAGAAGAAATTATTTTTTTGAAAAAGCTTTTTGACTGATTGCCACTTTATTATACTGGTAACTTATACAAGAAAAACTATTTCCTTCATTCTTCTATAACCCATGCTAACCACTAGGAAAAAAGACACCTAGGTTGAAATCTCACTTCAGTTGATTTTTAGCTGTATGACCTTACCAAGATACTTAAGCTCTCTGTAACTCATCTAGAAAAAAGTGATAGTAGCTACCTCACAGGATTTTGTGACTGTCATAGCTGTAAAGCAAATAGCACATGCTTAACACATAGTATACACTCCAAAACTGAAAGCTATTATTACTGTGATACTAGGTTATGTATCCCTTCTCCTCCCCCATTTTAAATTATTTACTTCAAATTCCTGAAAATGCACTGCCAGCTATATTATGTATAGAGAAAGTTGGTGGGAAATTGGTAGCTGTACTAATGATGTTTCTGCAAATACTTAAGATGAAAATAAAGTTAATTTGGTGGGTAATGGAGAAAGTTTAGTTTTACAAATTTTAGTTTTATATTATTTCTGTGTATTAAAACCTGTGTGAAGGCTCAAGGCAAGAACCTCATAGTTAGTTTGCTTAGCCAAGTTTGCTGAAGCCAAAGGAATTTATCGGTCAATTTATTGACCGATGCTAACCAGTCTGCCAGCAAGCCAACTCAAACTATGATTTCTTATTCCTCATTGGCATTGCATTGTCCAGGGGAACACCGCACAGGTTTTAGTGGTGATTAACCAGAAGTGTCTATACCCAAGAATCACAGAAGAGTCTATAGTCGGCCAGTAAAACTTTCCCCTGGCAATTCAGAAGAGGGAGTCCCTACCAGCTTACTCTATGCGGACTAGGTGTTCCTTTGGTGTCTGAGACCGAGCTACTTTGGAAGTGGGAAAGAGTTGCAGTACCCCAAGGTACTGCAAAATTCAGATTAAAGTTGTAGCTCTGAGGGTTAGACTCACCAATCTATGAGCTCTGCTTGAATGACAATCATATCTCATTTATTTCTGTTCCCAATGCCTCAACATGGCTCTTCATTCAATATATTTATGAATATATGGATCGTCATAATTTTGTTTTTCTCAAATGTTATGTGTGAGAACACTTTCGGAAACACATCTTTTAAAGTAGTTGTTTTGGAAATGTATGACCTGTGGTGTAATAATAAGGAATACCAAGTGCCAAGCACTGAAATAAGCATTTCACCTTATTACTGAGTGAAGTAAATTTTGGAAACAGGTTTTGAGGTTAGAGAATGTAAGCAACATGGCACAACTAGTATGTGCCAGGGCTTAAAATTTAAACCCAAGCCTGCCATTGTATTGAGTTGGCAAAAACCTGGTCAGCCACTGCCCTTGAACGTTCAGTTTCCACTAGGAGTTCAGGGCCTGGTTTACCAAGAAGAGCCTCTGTGGCCACCCACCGCACCCTAAGCAGGAACAGGGGATGTTAAAGGTAAAACGTGGCCATTGCGCATGCTCACATCGCTAGCCTCACTCTTCCCTTCCTTGTCCCTGGACGCCACCGCCACAACTTTCCTGGACAACTTTAGAAAGGCTCCTGCCCACTGTGAAGTCAAACGAGCGGAAGCCGCTCCTCGCTGAGACGTGGCCACCCTTCCCTTCCTCGGGCCTTTCCAATTTGGAAGCCAACACCAAGCGCCTCCGTTTCTCGAGCATTCAAGCAGGAGCTTGCCAGTTGTCAATATGGCCACTGACGGGCCGGTCCCCAGCAGAGGCTTTTCATAGGCCAAGGTTGCATCCTAGCCCCGCCCATTTCGTCCCCTGGCTGCGTCCGCCGAGGTCCTCGCTACGCCTGCGCAGCCTGGGCTGGCGGGGAGGTGGGACGGTGGATTCTTCCTAGTGCCACCGTCGCTCCCTCTCCTCGCTTCTCCTGGCGCTCTGGGACTGCATTGCCTGCGTTGCCTGCGTTGCCTGCGCGAGGAGAAGGGAGGGGAGGGACGAGCCTGCGTGCGCGGGGATCTCCGCAGTCCCAGCAGTTCCTCTCGCGCGGGGTGGGCGGTGGGGGGTCAGCAGCAGTCGGGGGAGGCCCTACACGGCGCCATGTCAGCGGGCGGCCCGTGCCCGGCGGGAGCCGGAGGGGGACCAGGGGGCGCTTCTTGCGCCATGGGGGTCTCAACCGGTGGGGTTTCCATGTTCCGATGGCTGGAGGTGCTGGAGAAGGAGTTCGACAAGGCTTTCGTGGATGTGGATCTGCTCCTGGGCGAGATCGATCCGGACCAGGCGGACATCACTTACGAGGGGCGACAGAAGATGACCAGCCTGAGCTCCTGCTTTGCGCAGCTTTGCCACAAAGTCCAGACTGTGTCCCAAATCAACCACAAGCTAGAGGTGAGCTTTGGGCGCTGGAGGGGGTGGCGCTCAACTCCTGTTATCAGATCCCATTTAACGCATCAGTGAAACGACTAGAAAACTGCTCACTGGGGCATCTGGGCCTCAGATGTGACAAGGAGTAGGTGTGTGTGTATGTATGAAGGAAAGGATTGAGGTGATGTTGGAGCAGAAAAAGCGGTGTAGATCGACGTGTGGGGTCAGCCGGGGTCCAGACATCCACCTTCCTACTGTATATGAGGAGAAACTAATTAACAAGCCTGCTTACTACATAACCCAAGACTTAAGCTCAAAGATTCTCTGACATAAGACTACCTTAGTCCACCTTTTAACATTTGAGTTTTTAAATTTATCTTCACATTGATAAACTAGGTTTGTATATCAGACAGAGTCCTGATTATTTTTAACAATTTCAGGTCAATAGCAATTGCTGCACACAGACGTGCTATTTCCTGCATGCATGCATGAACTATTTAGGGAAATTTGATCAAAGCTTTTAGGAAAATTTAGTGGGATAAACAGGATAGTATCAGTGTCCTTCTCGATTTACAGTCATAAGTCTTTTAGATATATTGGTTCATCTAATTCTCACAACAGCCCTGTGGGACAGGTTTAGTATTGCTATTCGCATTTTACAGGGATTATTAAGGGACCAGAGACTACAGAACTAAATAAGTCAATCTTTTCAAAAACACATTTATTTATGTCTGGTGGGAAAAGGAGGAGATAGTGAGGAAAGCAGGTAGAAAGAGTTAGAGTGGCTGTATCAATAGCCTGAAGGGAGAGTGGCATCAAGGGAGTGATTGTTTTTATTTTGTTTTTAAATGAAAAAATAAACTTGAATATACTTACAAGCATATAAGAATCATCTAGTTCAGGGGAAAGCTGAATATTGTGGAGAAAAGGGGAATGATTGGTATTAATAAGGTTCCTGAGTGAAGATGAGATCCAAAGTACTTGTAGAGAGAATGGCCTTACGTTGAAAGGACAGCTATTGTATTTAGAAAGGAGAGAGAATGGGAGCATTAAGGTAGGAGGTTGTGGGAGTTTTTTGTGTGATGGTTTCTTTATTCTTTATAAAATATGAGCCCAGAACAACTGCTAAAAGTGGAGAAAAGTAAGAGCTTAAGGAGAGTGAAAAAGATTTGAAATACTTACGGAAGAGTGGGAGAGCCAGTTGTCCAGAGAAATGGAAGGCCTACCAGGCGATCTTGAGAACTTATATGGAGTTAGTTATCATAATTTCATGGTACAACCAGTCTGCCCTGTTACATGACTTTCTCAGGCACAGTAATGAGAGTAATAACTGAGTTCAGCCAGTGCTGTAGCAAGGAGTTTGCTATAGAGATAAGATTGTCATTGAAATGAAAATGGTAATGGGGATGAAGAAAAGGAGACAATCTTCAATTAAAGAAATAGAAACAGGATTTGATGATTAATGTATTGTAGATGCAGAGGATGAGGAAGATGAAGGGTTTGGGGTTAGGGATGACACCATATTTCAGTTTGGGAAATGTATTGATTGATGCTTATAGAACCTGAGAATGTGTCCTCATTTGGAACTAGGGTCTTTGCAGCTGTAATTAGTGTAAGGATGGAGATATGATCATTGCAGATTAGATTGGGCCCTAAATCCCAAGAGAGTGTCCCGATAAGAGATGCACAGAGGACATAAAGAGGCACAAAGAAGAAAGCTATGCGAAAATGGAATCAGAACTTGGAGTGACAGGTCTACAAGCCAAGAAATGTCCATGATTGTTGGCAACCACCAAAAGCTAGGAGGTGGGCATGGGACAGACACTTCTTCAGGGTCTCCAGAAGGAACAAACCCTGCCAGTACCTTGATTTTGAGCTCTTGGAATCCTGAACTGTGAGAGAATAAATTTTTGTTCTTTTAAGCCACCAAGTCTGTGGTTATTTGTTACGACAGCCCTAGGAGACTTAAACAATTCACTGAAGCAATGGTATTACACACTGTTACCAGGAGGAGCAGGTCTGGCAGAAAAGATGAGTTGAATTTAGGAGATTGTGCAGGTCCTTATTCTTTCTTGTATGTTCCTTACAGTCCCTATCTTTTCTTGTATATTCTTAACAGTCTCCATATTGCTTCTTACCCCCTACAAACCATGCTTTAGTTGTCAAAATCACTCTAAAATGCTTCATTTTAACCGTTCATGTCGAAAAAGGCAACTCTGATTCTGTCACTCTTCTTTTTATACCTCCCTATTTCATACTGGCGAATTTCTCAAGCCTGGTGATCCATGCCCATTCTGTCTGTCCTCATTTTTTGTCACCCCTTCTTAGCTACTTCTGCCTCAATCAAACTGGTCTATTTGCAGTTCCGTAAATAGGCCTTGCTCTGTCATGGCATCTCTGCTTTGGCATAGGCTTCTGCATATAATGACTCCTCTGTCCCCTTTGTCTGCGGTACTGAACACCCACTCATCTTTCAAGATACCCCTTACATCACCATGTCTGTGAAGGCTTTCCTCACCCTACTCTTCTCTGCTCTCTATAGGAAGAGGCTGTCATAACATCCTGAACTCACTTGGACTGTTAGATCTGTTACATTGCACATACTGTAATTAATGGTTACCACATCTCTCTAGCTCCAGAGGGTAAGCCCTTTGATGACTGAGACTGTGTTTAGGTGAAATAACCTGACCTATCACATGCATAGTGAAGGTGAATATAGGGGCTCATAATATCTCTTTATGAACCCATTTTTGTTTCATGGTGCTCCCAAACCATATTGCGTAGTGTTTGAGTATGGATATAGGTTGATTTATATGTAGATTACAGAATTGGTGTTCTGCCCCTTTATAAAAAATTAAAAAACTGAAACACACATTAAACACCAACCTTTCTGACCTTCTTAACCCTATCTCATCTGCTAGGGGTTTTCATATCTCATACCTTTTCCCTCCTCCATGGATTAGCTGACTCCCATGCAACGCTCAGGTCAGCTTTTTCTCCTTTGTGACTGATCCGCTTCACTTCTTTTTGAAAAAGTATGTCCCACATGCCTCTACAGTAGTGCTTATAACACTGCATCGTAATTGGAAATACTTGTTTTTAATTCTTTCTACTAGACAGTGAAAGTCTTAGGGCAGAATCCCTTTGTTATTCAAATCTTTTTGTCTCCAGATCCTAGTACACTTTGCATACTCAGTGTTTATTTGAATGAATAAATTATTTGAAACACTTCTAGTGTTCTGCCATGAATCCTCAAAGATTACCAATAATCATTCTGTAGTACAAGCTCCGTGAGAGCTGGGATAGTGTCTGTCTTGTTGACTCTGTATCTGTAGTGCCTAACATAGTGCCTGCTGTATCCGTGAATGACTGAATCTGCAGGTTCATCCGTTCCCTTGAACTGTAATTTATAAGGATGTGATTTGTAAGTTAATATTTCATGGTATTCCATTTTAAGAAAAATTTGAAACTGTGACTAAAAATACCTTTGAACATCATTACATAAGAATACTGAGTATGGATTTAGTATATTTGTGACATTTCTAAAAGATTGGGTAGGGTTACTCTTCGCACCTCACCATCGGTTTGATCATAGAGCAGCTGAGTTCTTTAATATTAAAATGGGAACAGGAAACATTTTCTGTTGTTTGAAACTTCATTTTGAGGTTGAAATCAAAGTACTTTCAAAAATACATCACCGATTTATCTATATTCCTCCGTCTTAATCCCCCAACCCCAGTACATTCATGTTGTCTCTTTTGGTACATCCAGTTGCCTCTTTTAAAACATAAATTTTACCATGTCATTCTGCTTAAAAATTTTCGATTGTACTTTGAATAAAATTCAAACTCCTTATTATAGCTGACACACTCTGTTTGATCTGACCTGGATAAATCTCCAGTGACATCTCTTATTATTTATTCTTTCCTGTTATTCTATATGACCTAGTCAGATGGGCCTCTTTTCAGAAACTCTTAGACAACAGTTCTCAAACTTTCTGGTCTCAGGAACCCTTTCACTCTACAAATTTATGAGGTCCCCAAAGAGCATCTAAAAAAAATGTGGGTTATATGTACTGGTATTTACTATATTAGAAATTAAAACTGATAAAACTTTAAATATTTACTGTATTGGTAAAAAGCAACAATAAGCCATTACATGTTAATATAAATATCATTTTTAATGAAAACTAAGTATTAGTCAAAAATTAGAGTAGCATTGTTTTACATTTTTAAAAAATTTTTAAAATATCTGGTCTAATAGAACACAGCTAGATTCTCACATCTGCTTCTATTTTCAAACAGTTGTGATATGGGGCTTTGGTATAATATAGGAAGAAAATTTGACCTCACAGAAGTATGTAGTTGGATAAAAATGGAATATTTTAATAGCCTTTTCAGATTAATGTGGATTTTCTTCTTTGATAGTAAAAGATAGTTTCTTAAAGGTGAGTTACAATATGGAGTCTGAAAGTCTGTCCGTGAACTTTCCGTACACTGTTACATTAAATTACAATTGGTTTATCTAGGTAGTCTTTCAATGGATATTTGACCCAGGCATGATTTTAGTATCATGCATTGGCTATTTTGAAAATACTGGTTCACTGAGTTATGCAGATCTTTCCAATGTTGGAGTATCTCATTATGCAATATCAAGAAATCACATTTATTAATATCTTTTTCATCAGAAAACTCTTAAGTGCTGATGATAGATTCACGTTTTCCAAAATTACTTTTCACTCAAAAGCACAAATTTTTTTTATTGGCAACAAACTTTGTCAGTTGTTTTCCTTGAAATAACAAATTTCTTTATCCTCAGGAACATATCTATCTGCCAAGCATATTATTCATCTTAAGACCCACAGTTTGTTCCTTTTTCAAATAAAAATAGTTTTCCACCAAAAAAAAATGTTCAGCTTTGCAACTCAAGCAATTGTATAATTTCCTGGAGATAACATAGTGTGATAGGCTGCAGGTACACTTTACGCATACTTCTCTTGCATCACACCGAATGTTAAAAGACAT